CCAGACTGACACCTTTATCTGTCAGTTTCAAAAGAAGAGTTAACATTTTCGCCGTCACCTGCGGCGAATTAGATATTTCTTGCTTTCATTTCCAAGTGAGTTTTCTTTTCTACAAATATCTTAACTGGCGCCATCTGTTGGCAGTTGACTGAAGCGCCCAGTCTGGTTTGTTCCCATCTCGCTTTCGCATAAAAGTTTTCAAATGCTGAGCTGTTTTTCCCCTTTATACCCTTGCAGGGAGTATAATAATATTATTAACAGATATTAATAAAAAGAATAAGTAATAAATGAATACGAAAAAGATTAAAAATTTCTAATCAACACGAGAGTATTATTATTCGGTCTTCGGAATGTCTGTTCCCATCTATTTTTTTATAGCAAAAATAGGGTATTGCATCTCAGTCTGAAGCTTAAAACACATCGAAGGAGTTATTTCCGACCCTATAAACCATATATATTCTTGATCAGCACAAAAAACTGCGTCGATCTAGATTACTCCGGACGAAAAACATTTTTTTTTAAATTTGCCCAAAAATCAACATTAAAATTGGCAAAAAATTTAAAATTTTTACATGTTAAACTAAGTATGCAGATTTGTTAACTTTGTAAAAACTAGTACAGAACAGCTTTCCGAATTGAATTTAATGTATTTTTGGCTGAGTTACGCATTTTTTAAGCATTGAATTGTTCATAAAATTACCATATAAAAAACTTAATCAAAGGGTCTACAAACTTCGGCTTCCCAAATTGAATTTCCTTTCTTGTTTTTTGTTTCTTTTATGTTTAAAGTTGTGTTGTCATCGCGTGTTCGCTAAACATTCTTGAAGTGTTTGCTGTTGTTGCAAGTTGCTGGTTGCAAGTTGCAAGTTGCCGATGTTGTTAGTTCTTGGTGGCTTATGCTGTTGTCAGTTGCCCGTTGCGCTGGCCATTGGTATTGCACTTTGGGCTTATCTTATTGGCGAGGCCACAGCGACGACAAGGAAGTCATTAGCAAAAGGTTAGCCAACGAACTGACCCCTTTCTATGCTGCTCCCCAGGGGAGTTTCTTATTTTTTTAGTTTTCTTTAAAAAAGACGTAGAACTTTTTGTGATATTAAAAAAGTTTGCCCACAGGAAATCGAAGGAAAACTGATTAAAATAAATCGCAGGTCTCCCTCTTCAAGTTTTGCTTGAACTTAAACTTTGACTCAATTTCGATAATATATTGATTTTGGTTACTTTCTTCTATATATATAGATGAAGAAATATATATTTAAGCTCATGTCCGGTTGAAAGCAAAAGTTTCGCTCCAAAAACGAAGAACAAAGTTCAAATGCAAAATGCAGTATTGAAATCAAAAGGCAAAAGCCAGCCAAAAAGTTTGCAGCAGCAGAAAGCAAGTGCAAGATGCAGTTGAAGAAACTTGTATATAAATAAATATATATAAACATTTTTAATAACATTTTGTACTTTAGAGTTTACCGTTCATATAAAGAAATAATAGAAATAATCCTTTGGGAAAAGTGGAACTAACTCATACACACAAAGTCTTAACAAGCTTCTTGGAAAACAATATATTTTTCATTCAAGTGAGACTTAATTAAATCTTTTCCAAAAATTAAACTTTATATATTTTTTACTAATATAAAATATAAACTTTTATTTCAAGTGTGAGGATAAAGAAACGGCAGGAAGCGAAATGAAATTTCTTCGGGAGTGAAGTGATATGCTCTGGCAGCAGCAACAACAAAGCCGAAAGTGAATGAATGGCGGCGAAATAAATGAAAATGCAAAGCGGGAGAAAAGTTAAAAGTTTTGTAATAAGTGCAGCCAAAGGCTAACAGAGGGGCGGTCTTTCTGAGAGGGGGCGTGGCGGAAGCACATCATCTGCGACAGCTGCAAAGCCGCAACGCAATGGCTAAAACTTTGCCCTTTTTCGCAGAGTAAATGAGTTGAAGTTATATTAAAGAAGGTTACATATAGTTGTTGCTCCAAGAACCGAGCTTCATAATTCCCCAATGTAATCTTAAATACTTTGCAATGTAATACTATTGATAAGAATAAGTTTAAGTGGCTAAGATTGCTTGCTAAGATAATTTAAGTTTCATGATCCATGATCATAACTATCATCTTTTGTAATCATAAAAGTAAATACTTGGAAATGCATACCTAGCACAGCTGTTTATAATCCCTTATTATATAGTTTTCATATATATAATAATAATAATAATCATGGTTAAGACTTACCGCAGTTATCCCTTTTCGTCATCATTACTTCCTTTCAGTGTAAAGTTATATATTCCTGGTGACTTTAATTGGGGTCTTCATGGCATCATCCACGTCATGATCCAGACCATGATCCACGTCATCTTCCTGGTTTTCCAGATGGATTGCATTGGCCACGTGGTATGCGCCAGGTCGAATCACTAATCACTATCACTTTAGATGTTATCACTTCAAGGGCCACGCACAGACTGAGGCCGGCGGGGCGCAAGCGCCTCTATTTATAGTCCCCGAGCAAAGAGAACAGAGAAAGTGAGAGCGAGAGAACAACAGGTACCTGCAGCGAAAGGCAGAGAGATCTCCAGAGAAAGCGACATCGCTGGAGATGCACAGAGAGGGATGGCCATACCGAAAACAGATAGAGGGAGGGAGAGGGACAGAGAGGGAGAGGGACAGAGAGTGAGTGGGAGAGTTAGTGATAGAGGCAGAGGAAACTAGCTATATAGAGCCCGGGAGAGAGGTATAAATAGAAATACAGAGAATATGAATAATTTTGGGTGTAAATATTATTTATGAGCCTCTATTATAATTAAGTGGCTTGCAGAAATAACTAAATTTAACATTAATTTTTAGAGATAAATATATTTTCCTCAAAAGTGACTTGAAAGTTGATTGAACATTTTCGGCAGCGTCCTTTCAACTCTCTCCCACACAAATGTGGAGGCATACGTAACTCACCTTAATCAAGCGGCAATTGTTGCAGAGCCCCCTCCCCTCCCCTTGGATTTCCCCCTCCCTCACCGCCCAAGCAATGCAATTCAATCCGTCGGCCTGCCCACAATAGTTAACAGCATTGTTACACTTTTAAACGGTATTTTTATGCCAAGTATTTTGGCAATTCTGAGGGTATATTGTCTTTATATATTTTTTACTTTATAATAAATACAATGTTATTAATGTTGTTTTTATTATAAATATCTAGTTAGGGGTTTTAAATATGTATTTCTGGCTTTGCTATGCTCAATTTTAATAATTAAATTGTAAACTAAAAGATTATAGAACCTTGAGTCTTCTAAAGTTTGTTTCCTTAAATGATAAACTGAACATATTATTTTTAATTTAAATAAACAAGGTATTTTTAATTCGTTAACAGCCTTCTCTAGTACGAAGTTTGAATATGCGGCAAAAGGTAAAAGCATAGCCGTACAAAATAAAAATAAACTGAAAACAAAAACCAGAAACAGAACCCCAAAAGCACTATATATATGTACTATGAATATGTGGAACTACAGGAGCCACCAGGCACCGCCAATGGACGCCTCCTGGTCGGGACCACTGCGGTTCATTAGCGGCTCCAAATGCGATTTGCTCTCGATGCAGAGTTGGCCCCCAGTGGAGGAGGAGGAGGAGGAGGGAGGAGGAGTTGACTCGAACTAGAACACATGAGCACGTAATTTAGTAGCCGCTTTAGCGCTTTTGTGTGAAAATCACAACGGCAGCGGTAACATGGCCCCAAAAACTTCAGTTCACAACAAAGCACTGAGATGCCAAAAAAATTAATTTAATTAAGAAAGAAATTTATACGATAATTCAAAATATATATAAAGATTTTAGGATTCAAATTATTTTATATAAAAAATGTTTATATACTTACAGCAAGAACAAAGCTTTAAAAAATGTAATTAAAGTAATAAAACAGAACAATTTCTTGAAAATTATATAATTCAAAATTAATATAATTAAAATAATATATAAAAATATTTCTTAACAATTTGTTAGAATGAAAAACTATATAGAAAGGTACAAACTTGGGCATCGCTGACCCACCACACTCCGCACGACCTCTGCTCCACCGCCCTGGCGTTGTTTATGGCCATGTGCCACATCGGGATCACATTCGGGCCACTTTTGTGTGTGGGTCCGGTTTTTGCCGTTAATTCCTTTTTATAAATAGCCAGCGATACAATGGCCAAGACTCCCACCTCCCCCAGACATCAGTCCCGGAGAAAAACTAATTTTATTTGCTACTTTTGCTGGTTGCTGCGAGGTTAGTCCAGGGCCAAAACTAATCAGTTTTTTTTTTCTTGGCCAACATGCAAAGCCTGGACTTGGATTAAGACCGGCCTCTTTTTTCTTTTTTTGGTTATATCTCTTAGTTTGGAAAGATGGTAGAGGCCAAGTTCAGACAGTTTCATATATAAATTACTTCCGGAAGAAGATCTAACACAAGATAAATGTTTATACTTAATGAAATTTTGAATATAAATGATTAATAAAAGGAGCATAACAATATAAATTTCTTAATCAAACATTGTATAATTTATAAATTTTAAAAGGAACTGAAATCGATATAAATATCGATAATATAATACATTAAATAAAAGCTGGTCATATTAATAAAACCTTGCCATCAACAAAACCCCAACACTTATAAAACTTTATAATGAAAAATTTTAAAAGGCTATAAAATTAAACGTTAAAACGTATATTTTTTATGAAAACAGCATATTATAGGATCTAAGCAATTTTTTAAATTAATCACATTATTTACCAATTGCTAGAATATTCAATTATTGAAATACCATCTCTATAAAGTTTTCATTAAGAAAATAAAAACAATTCTATCGCTGACGTGTGCCCAGTGGAGATTATTAAAAGACAACCACTCATGCGATAGGAAATTTCTATTAAATCAAACCAATCAGACCACTTCAAGAGATCCCTGATAACTCAGAAAAACCAAAATAAAAGCAGCTGCTCTTCGTTCTCCTCAAAAAAATTGATTAATGACAATCATATAATAACGTAAAAATACAAAAACACACAAACGTTTCCAATTTAATCAGATTTTGCCGATACTTTCAGGAGTAAGTTTAGTGGAGCTTGGCCAAAAGGGAAGCCAGGGTCATCTTGGGATCGAAATCGGCATCGCTGGCCACAGAGATATCAGGGATCAGATCAGCATCGGCATGGACTTGAGGCTCCACAGGCTCAGCTCCGGAAACCAGGGCCAACTTTGGCAGAGCCTTCAGACCTGCGATGGGCTTCCTGGGAGTATTATCCGCATCGGAAGCCACCGAGATGTCGGGGATCAGATCAGCATCAGCCTCAGCAACAGTCTCCTTAGGGGTGTCATCAGCATCGGAGGCCACCGAGATATCGGGGATCAGATCGGCATCGGCCTGGACTTCCTCATCCGCCTCGGAGGCCACCGAGATATCGGGGATCAGATCGGCATCAGGGCTGGCAATAGCTCCGGCGACCTTGGCAAGCAGAGGCTTCTTCAAGTCAAAGGAGCCACGCTTGGGGGTCTCATCAGCATCGGTGGCCACCGACATGTCTGGAATCAAGTCCGCATCAGCCTGGACGGACATATCGGGAATCTCGGCCAACTTGGCAGCGATGACCTTGGCAATGGGAGCAGCCTTGAACCAGGCAGCGCGCCTAATGGGAGTGTCATCGGCATCGGTGGCCACGGACATATCGGGGAGGACTCCAGCATCGGCCTGGACGGACATATCGGGAACATTGATGGCATCAGCCAAGACGGACATATCCGGAATCATTTCCTGGAGCATGGCTTGCATCTTCCTGGCGATGGCTAAAAGGTTAAAATATAGAATTAAATATTTCATTTATTTCTAATAACTAATATATTTCTATATATATTTTATTGCTTTGGATTTACGTTTTAGAATATAAATTAATTATAGGTATTCAAAAATCATAAAACTAAGTTTATATAATTTATTTTTCTTGTTTCTCGCTAAACCTTTTAGGTAAATATTTTTTTATTTGATGAAATATACACCAATTTGATGAATCACTTTCTTTGTGGCTATTTCCTCTGATATGCAGCTCCATAATCACTTGCCTTGAATTGTTATTGGTCATTGATTTGGCCTTTGTTATATTTCTTTTTTGTTTTAAACCAATAAAAATTTATGAACTTACCTTCCATGTGGGGCAAATGCTGGTGGGGGGCGGTCTGGATTTCGTAGGTCACAAAGTGCCTGGCTTGGGGCACATATCCTCCGCTGACCAGCGGAAGGATGAGCAGGGCGCAAATGGCAAAGTATTTCATGTTGATCGTCTCGAAAATGACTGAACTACGCAGGCACTTGAGTTGAGGTTTTATAGTGGCCTTATCGGGGCACTGACTCTCTTATTTATGGCCACGAACGGGACAGACCTCTCCAGATTAGATTGCCAGAACAGAGGCGACCCGAAACGAGTAGATTGGTAAGAGGATGCCTTGTAAATCTTGGCCGGTGGTTCACCCAAAAAACGGGAAGTAATGGATCCAATAACGTGACCGAGCAGGAGGTTAAATGGATTACGGATCCAATCATTTAAATTAATTTGCAACAGAGAATATATACAAGTATCTACTTAATATTATCCTTTTCCTATTCTATTTCCATATTTTTAATATTTTCCTGTATTTTATATATCCATATATAATATAAGAATTAACTGATTAAAAGAACCTATGACAATATCGTTTAGTTATTCGCTATCTATGTTTGGGTATGCCACCTTATCTGCTGGCTATCGATGACGTGGTGGCAAGGGGTTAAATCCACGTACTATATAGCTCGTATTCATGATTCATTTTGAAAAATGAAAAATTCATTCTTTAAAAAAAAGTACACCACCATTAAATATTTTATCTTTACTTTTATAACATTTATTTAAACTTAGAAAAAAGAAAAAATGAAACTGTAATTACATATTCGACTTCGCATTACAGAACTTTAATGCTTATATATTAGGAATATTTTTTAAAGTATGTTTCTTTCATTCATTTGGGTAACACAAAATAATTTTGCAATGTTTGTAAATGAAAATATTCTCTCATAATTGGTGATAAATAAGGCTTAGCTTTCGCAGCAAATAATGTGGTTGTGAGAATATTTAAGAACTTAAAAATAATTCATCTTAGACTTAGTAATTCTTTGTCTGTGGTTTTGTTCTCATCAAGATTCGTCGTAGATCTTAAATTAGTTGAAGTTTCACTTGGATTTTCGATGGCACTCTACATGCCCAGTATATCGTCATGGTCGTCCATGTTATCCACCGGCTCGTGCTTTAGATCCAGCGTATAGTCATCCGCTGCAATGGTGGCTGCCGTAATGTTGGTCGAGTTCGTCTTCTGGAGCTGCGGTTGCTGTTGGGGTTTATAAAGTGGACTTTGGGTTGGGAGCTGGCTCTTGGCATTCGCCACCACCAAACTGCGCTTGAGTGCCAGGGACTGAGGAGTTGATTCAGTCGCTGCCGGGGATCCCAAGGATGTCGCGGATGACGTGGACGACGATGAGGCGACAGCCGTAACTTTGGGCTGGATAAAATCCTTAAAGGCGGCACCCTGTACGTTGGTAATCTGCGGTGTCTTCTGGGGTGTCAAAACGACACCGGTGGTGGGCGAAACTTGCAGCTTCTGATTGCCAGGACTAGCTCCAATGGTCTTCCTCACCAGCAAGCTGTTGCCTTGCGGCGTAACAATCTGCTGGACCCCAGGAGTATAGCGAGGACGCTGAGTGGGCGGCACCATCGGTTGGGCTGGTGCCATTAGACGGCGCTTCAGTGCATTAGCCTCCATGGGAGTCAGATTGGAATGCAGGGAGCTGGGATATCCCAGCCCGCCCGGTAGGGAGGCCTGATTGTTGCATGTGGAATACCGGCGGGCCATGGCACGCGCCTTCAGCGATGGTCCAGTCTTGACCGCTGTCACGCTAGTCGAAGGTCCCAAGAGGCTGTTGATCGAAGATCCCTGCGGTCTCACTGCGGCCATAATAGTGGCTCCCTTGGGACTGGCTGGCGGTATATTTACCGAGCTCACCAAGCTCTGCTCACTGTCCACGCTGGCCTTGCGCAGATCCTCCAGCGAAGCACTAATCCCATTCGATTTCCCATTTGTAGTCTTCCACAAACGAACCGTCCTTTTATCGGCTCCCGGGGCAGCTGGCGAAATGTTGGCGGCAGTGGTCTCCGTTCCGCGACTTGTCTTGAAGACCCTCTGGATCAAATGACTTGGAATGCTCACTGTTTGGCTTCCTCGCGGGCTATCCGAGATATTCAGTGCAGTATAGGAAACTGCCTCCTGCGTCTGACTTGACGGCTTAGTTGGCAGCTTAGCCTGCTGCTTCTGTGGCGACCCTCCTGGAGACAACTTGGCCGCAATCACCATACTCGCGAGCTCCCTAATTAGGCGAAGTTCAGGACTCGTGACGTGCTCAAAGGCCGACGGAGTGTTTACACTCAAATGCTGCGATTCCCCGGCCTCTGGGAAATCGGTGGCATCATCGAAGGTCTCCATCAGGGCCTGGAATACCTTCTGCTTGAAATGCATCTTCTGGCGATTGTTCATCTCTTGCATCTGTGGCTTTATCATCTCCAGGAAATGCTCATTCGAATAGATATCCGCGCATTCCGTTTGTGTTCCCCGCTCGCCCCGCTTTACCATGGTGGTATTTGGTGGCAACGAAATGGCCGAAACTGCTAGGGTGCTGGTGGCCACAACCGGGGGACTACTCATGCCGATGGCTTTGGCACTGCTCACGGCAATGTTATGGTTAGTGCTCGAGATGGGACTATAACTCATTACAGTAACATTCTCCATCGGTTTCAGAGTGGTGGCGGTGACCCGGTTGGTTAGATTCCCTCCTGGTTTGGTGGTGGGAACAAGGGCAATATTGGCGCCAGTGCTCAGGACCGTGCTGGTGGTCTTGCTGATGGGCACAACTTTCGGAATATTCGATGACTGCTGCCTGACTGTTGCAACGTCTAATCGCGGCGGAAAATCAAGCTTCTTCGGCGGCCTGCCTCTTCTTGGCGGAGTCGGCGGTGTCTCTGGGCGGTCACTGGTAGTCATGCGTCTCATTACCTGTTGCCTTTGGGCCAGAGTTTGCCTAACTCCTTGTTTTCCGTCACCTGCTGGCGTTGACGGTCTGGGGAAGAAGTCATCTGTTTTTTTAAGCTGAACTGTCTTACTGGCCCCCACTGCTCTTGGCACTGGTGTCAACTTAACGGGCGATGTGGAGCTCCTTATACTCTGCCCTGCACCCAGGGTCATGGTTTTGAGGCGCTGATGACGCGTGACCCTCGGCGCTTGGGTGGGCTTCTTAATGGCAGCATCCTTGGGCTTGCGAAGGCGACGACTGGGTGAGCCTTCCTTTGTGCTGTCCCTTCTGCGTAGGATCTTTGAGGCCTCCATAGCGATGTCGTCGTCCAGTGGATCTCCGAGATTCAAGTCCTCAGACTCAGGGTCGAGAGCTTCGCCACCCAAGAGCGTAGCGTTCTTTTTGCCAATAATCAGTAAATTTGGGTTCTTGTTTTGTTTGATAAAAAACTCTGACGGCTTAGTTGACGAATCTTTAGTATTAATCGATGATTTTTTATCCTTTTCCTGCATTAATACTTCTTCTTCGAATTCAAATTCCTCTAGATGCTCCTCTTCTATGGAATCGTCACCTTCCTGGTCGGAGTGCATGTAACTATCTTCCTTGAGACTTTTCTCCTTTTCCTGCAGTTTAGCCAGCTCCTTTTCTACGAATTTTTCCTTTATCTGGTTTGAGATTTGCTTCGACTTATCCTTATTCACGTCCTTGGTTGAAGGATCCTCTTCCCCGAGAAGTTGATCAGCCGACGATTCGTCGTTGACTGACTTATCGTCAAGTGCAGCGTCTCCTTTTAAGGATGCAGAGGTATTGTCCCTGCTCTCGCTGTCCCTGTTGCTGTCCCTATCCTTCTCTGATCCGCTGCGATCCTCGTCGTTGTGCGGGTCGGCCAAGTTCAGGTGGCGGTCCAGAAAGCGGAATTCCTCATGCAACGGATAGGGTAAGCGTCGATTTCCCTGCCGTCGCCGATTGGCGTCTGCGTTGCACCAGCGTATGTAATCGTTTCGCAGCTGACGCCAGCGCCGTTTGCACCTTTCCACTGCAACGAAATCAAAGAGGTAGACAGTTAAAATAGACAGGTAAAAATTTAAATAAAATCCTGCAGCATCAGGTAGCATTCAAATTGTGCGGCAGCTGTCACTAACCACCCCCGAATTCGCGTGGAAAAACTAGCAAAATAATCCCAGGCAATAACAAACATCTAAATTCCCAAACCCTTGATCTTATTTGTGGCCTGTAAGAGACGTTATTTGGTAATCAGCAGTAATTTCAATAAGCTACCTGCAATAAAGGAGTAATATATGCCTTCCAAGTTTGTATTTTTAAAACAGCAAAATTCGTTAAATTTTATTGTCAATTCTATGTTTTTATCTACAAACTGGGGTTATCCCTATCTCACATAAAACTATGTTAAATGTAGTTAAATTTTAGCATTTGCATTTCAATTAATTTTAATATTAATATTATTCACGTAAATATTGCACCCAAATTATTTATTTTGTCGAAATTTTTTTTGTAAAATGCTTAAAATATTGTTAATAAAAGAACACATTTTTTTAAGAGGCATTCAAATTAAATAATTGCGAAAACGTAAAGATTTTGTATTATTTTATATAAATAAAAAGAGTAGACAATTTTTTATTTATAATTTTCATACTTTTAACTTATATTTATGGTAACATAATACATACATGGATAACAAAAAATTAATTAAATTAATATAATAATATAATATATTATATATATTATATACAATTAATTAATATAATGAAATTTAAGATTTTATAATTTTATTTAATTATTTTAATTTAATAAAAAAGATGAAAAACCCCAAAAACGAATATAAATAAAACAATAAACTTTTTTACCAATAAGGCAACTGTAAAATGTAGTTGCTGAATGCATAAAATACACAACATATAACAAGTAATAATTAAAAGTAATATTTAAATTTGAAAAATTAAAAACGGAAAAATATGAATGTAAAATTAAAGTTGAAAACTTAATCAATGACTCATAGGTAAATATGCTTGAAAATGCAAACGAACGTGTTTGAGCGAAAATTACGTAAATATAGATTTATTTAAATATATGTACATATGTACAAATATACAAGTTCATATAAATTTATGCATTTTGTCTAATGTATGTACATATGTATGTATATACATATGTACGTATGGACGTGCGTACAGATGCATGCATGTATGTACGTACGTAAAAATGTTGAAAATCAGAAATAAAAAAGTGATAATTGTACATACAACATACAATGTACATACTCTATGACATCCAACAAGATCAGCAAAGAACCAATGCATACTAAAGTAACGACCTGTTTACCTTATGGCTTGGTTAAAACTAAATAAATTGATTTTTATATTTCTATTCTTACATCAGAAAGCTGTCAATTATTTTAATCACAAACGAATGCTAAGACCACTTAGTCAATATGAACTAAAGACGTTTTCAACTTGTATTTCTTAGTATTTCGAACGATAAGACTCAAAGTTAAAGATCATTGGAAGCACTAGAAAAAATGACCACGCGCCGGAAATAAGTAAGAGAAATATACCAGGGAGTGAGCATCATGACAAGACGATCACAGTTGCATGGTGTCGATCAAATATATCGATATCACCATAAAGAGATATGTATTTCCGGTACTCTTTATTTCAAAATAACTGATTCAATGTTGTCCTTATAGATTTAAGTAAATTAACGTGTCAACATCATTGCATATTTATAGAAAGTAAATATTTTTAAAATACAAATACTAAAGCTCTCAAATCTGAATGGCATAATCGATATAAAAACTGTTTTTGCATTTAGATGTTATCGATATGGGATTGTAACAAACTATCAGCACTAGCCACAATTAATGTGCAATTATGGCAATTAGCCATTTCGCAGCTGCTGAAAATATCGACTAAATGGTTAAATCGCAAGTGTGGCAACAAAATTTGTAATATCGAAAGTTTGGATTGATAATTTAAATGTTTAGTAGTTTTTGCGTCAAAGCTAGTTTTTGATATGAAAAATAATGTAATTAATAATAGACGTATTAATATAAATAAAGTAAATACAGCACATGAATTAATTAAAAACCAATAAGAGTAATAACTTCGGGTAGACCACATTTTTATACCTATGCAATTATTAACAACTTGTTGTATAATTGAAGAACAATTTTTTTTTTGCATATCAAAGCTTTAAAATATAATACAGCGTTAATTTCGAAAAGCTTTTATGTTCTAGTTCTTATTGAATAAACAAATCAGGAAGCATAATTTAAAATGTTTGAAATTAAAGCAATTTTGTTAATATATTTTCATTTATAATTTTTAAAAGCTTAACACAATCATAAATAATTTTATTTGGAAAGGACTTCGTAAACATCCATATATTTTTATTCCAATTTGTATACACTTTCAGAGAATATTTTAATTTTAGTCAGTGAAGGCATTATTTCCGGCCCTATAAATCATATTATTGATCAGCATTTACTGGCGAGTCTATTTGGCTTTGTTGATAAAGCAAACATTTTCTTGCAAATTTTTTAAGGGGTTACATCGTTAAATTTTGTAAAAATTAATACAAATTTTAATTTTTGTGTTTGTTTGACTTATTGCGCAAACTTCTTAACCAAATACCAAAAACTAGCGGAGAAAAAAATTCCGAATTGAAATTAATGATTTTTGGCTTAGTTATAGCATTTTAAACTTTTATTTGTTTAAAAAATATGTATATAAATGTCAAAAAAGCCAGTGATTGCCAAATTTCATATACATTCTAATTCGCAACAAAAATCCTAATTAATTAAAATTAAGCTATTAAAAAATATATAATGCTTCTTTGGCTTGGTTCTTTTTTTAATATTAATTTTACACTTGCAAACTTTGGCTTCTCGAAGTTATCTTCGTCACTTATTTAATATTGAACTTTTAATATCCGGTAATTAATATATATTTTTTATTTATGTTAAATTATATGTGTTCCTTATAATATATATTTAAAATCTCATATTTTAAGTTTATTTTTATACCTTTAATTGAATTTCATGGCTGCATATAAAGTCAATCAGTTTCCTTTATGTTTCAATTAACCAAACCACAGTAATATTTATTAATGTAATAAGAGAGATTTAATAGTAATTTGCTCAATTATTTTGAATAAAACCTATTTACTAAAGCTTCTTCCCACGGTATGGTTTGCAATTGTAATTAATTAATCCGAAGGGCAACCTAATTCAACAGGAGACTCGCTATTTTCGAATTAATCGATGGCAGCTGCTTGCATTTGCCATCACCGACACTCATGCAAAAACAGCACACGGAAGAGCTGCCAACTCGGCCGGCAACGGCCGATAAGTGTGCGCGCTTTGCCGTTGCCCAACACTACCCCAATGCTACGCAGCTCTGCAGCCCCATCTCGCTTACTCACCCGACCCTCCAACCTCCGCGGCCACCATGTCCCAGGAATTATCGCTGGGCAAGCGCTTCCTGTAGTTTTCGTCGCCGCGATCGTACAGAACCGGCTGCTTCAACACCGCCCGCAGCAGCTGCACATTTTCCTTAGTCGCACCGCTCATCACTGCTCACCGTCCTTGCTTTTGTATTTTTTTGGCTAGAATCGGGCTGCAATCACAAGCACAAACGCAACGTAAAAACACAACAACACGCGCGCTGCAGCCGAAACAAAACGCCGAATGGCAAAAGGCAGCAAACAGTGCCAAACGCGAGCTACACATACACAAGCAAACGCATAAGAGAGAGCGAGGGAGTGAAAGAGCGCACGGTTTGCAGGCCAGTCGATACGAGGGTTGCACAAACAAAATACCAGGGAAGGTCAGTAACAGCTCGGTTTAATAGTACGGGCACACAATATTCAGCACTAAACACAACAAACAAGAAAATTTGTGAAACTGAATTGAACAAATTGACATATTTCGCTTTAGTTTTTAACGAACGTTATAGCTATTTTTATTGTTTATAAATTTTATATTGCTTCATATAGGTTTTGAAACATTTACATTTACATGTTATTTATGTATTTTTAAGTTTTGTAACCTCACGTAAATAATATGTATTAATTTTTAGTTTGTCGTTTAATTTGACGACTTTTTATTATTTATTTTATTTGTTACATTATTATTTATTTTTAGGGGTGGCGAAGCGTTAGTACTTTCTTTACTGATCGAACCAGCTTGCCAGCACGAAAAAAGCTGAACATGCTTAGATTTGGGTCTGGCAGTGCTGTCGCTCTCTTTAAAAGCAACTTATGTATGTGTGCGTGCCAGTGGTGGGCTAGAAACTCTCGCTCTCTATGGGGGTTGCATGTGGTACAAAACACAAACCCCGTTGTTATTTCATGTCAACTCACTGCGCCCCTGTATTTTCATGAATTCCGTGAGTAAAATTTTGCCGGGAAGAGTGTTTTATTTATTGAACCAGCTTCTTGCATTTCAAATATTTAAATGAAATCCAAGCTATCTAGTGTTCTTTTGGGGACTGTCATTATTGCATTGCCACAGCAATATTTGGGAGCAACATAATATCGCAGAGCAAAGGGGTCGAGCGAATTGCTAATATTAAACTACAACAGCAATTGCACAGCAGTTATTAGCTTGCCGCAACTATTCACTTGTCACAAACAGTGTCACCAATTAAATATAACTATTATTAACCGATTTCAGGTAAATATAAGCGCATTGAGACCGCGGTAGCGGCAAAACAAAACTGTTGCAACGCGACGCCTATACGCTAAAACAGCTGTTGCCGGCACAGGCGACATGTGTTTCGAAAACGTTTTGGCCGCCTGGCGAGTTGAGCAATTATATGTATAACGCCCATATAAAAATTTGTTTATTTAATCATTAATTATTCCTGAATTTTGGGCGTCACATAATACACCAATTAAACATATTTAGTATTTAAATTTATTGAAATGTGTTCTTGTTTGTATACTGGTATTAAAATTTAAAATTTTCTCATTCATTTTGTTATTAAATATTATAACTTGTGAAATTCTTTTTATTTTAGTTATTGATAATTCAATAAAAATGAATACTCGCAAGAAAACAAAAAGTATTAACCCACCGCAGGATATATACACCGTTAACGCAAATATATGCCGGTTGGTTTCTCAAAATCCTTGCCTATATGACCGATTAAACGATAATTATTCGAAAACTACCGTTTTGCAAAATGTGTGGAAAGAGATTGGAAAAGAGATGAAAATTCCGGGTAAGTTTGAAATTAAATATTACAAAACTTTTAAACTAATGATATTTAATAAAATGAATAATAATAAGTACTGACATATACTTAACCAGTTAATTTTTGTAATGCTTCGATTCTTTATTTATTAATTTTTCTTTAAATTATTTCAGCTAAAACCTGTCAGCAACGCTGGCGCAATATGCGTACCAGCTATGCTCGCTCCATTAAAGAGCATCCCGAAGGAACTAAATACTATATGAACAAAGAATTAGAGTTCCTTAAGAAATATATAACACCTGGGTTTCCTATTCCTCCAAGAGGTCGACGCTCCAGGGGCAGTCGTCGGGAGGAGCAGGACGACGAATCCGACGAGGACCAGAAACCTATATTGGGAGCCAACTCCGAAGTGAGGCATGCGCAGAGACGCAACAGAAACGAAACCGAAGATGCTTCCACTTTTTCCGAAGAGGGTTCCGGCATGGCTAGGCGTTTGTCCAAGAGAAGCAAGGAGAACCTTCAGGTGGGAGCTTATTTCACTACAATCTCTAGATTGAAATATATGTTATAAAAACAATAATTGGAATTAAATAATGTTCCATTCTTTTTAGCCATCGTGCTCTAATAGAAATGCAGAACACTGTTTGGATTTTGATGACGCCTTCCTGCAGGGCCTTCGTCCGGAAATCAACCAAATGAATTTTACTCAGAAGCTATTTTTCAAACGTCGCGTTTACGATTTGCTGGGTGAGATATTTGCCACCGAGATGCCCACACCAAACTCTCGCCAGGAAGTGGTCAATGAAGTCGTACAGACGCCCTCACTCCTTACTCCAATAAAGCGCTTCGGTCTACAGCTTCAGTTGCCAAAGCTAACACCCAAGATACAGAAACATTCGTAATGTTCAAGGGTCAAGCCAACCGGATATCGAATTTAAGCACAGTACAAAGGACAAATAATACTATAAAACAAATCTTAATAATAATAAAATGTGATAGCTAATTAGCTGATAAATAACTAAGTACTTAGTTAAGTTGTTAAGTTGTACTGGAGAGTGTACAAATAAATAAAAAATGGAAATACAATCATCACAATTTTTGGTATTTAAATTCTGAATTAAAAACATATTTTCTAGATTCAATGGATATAAGTTCATATTGTTTATTTTAGCAAATACTTTTGTATACGTAATTATTGTTTTTGTTGGTCTTTAAATAATATAATAAATTTTTTAAATAATATACATGTATAACGTTCCCGTATAATTTATGGCATAATATATAATTGTTTCGTTTTTTTTTTCGTTATGCATTTTGTGGATTAATAAGTTTTGTATAAGGAAATAAGCGCTGCCACAAGGGACCGGCTTCAATTCAATTTGTTTTTATGTTTAAATACGTAAATTAGTGTCGATTAGTTATATGTACAATCATCGATCTGTTATATAGGGCATCAAAACGTTGTAAGAGTTAAAACAATTGCACTTTAAATTAAAATATCTCATAAAATTAGGCATACAATTAAGTGTTTCGTTTAAATGCAAAAAAACAAATCGCTCGCAGCATCCATTACATCGGATTGGCAAGACCCCCAACAAGGTTAGACCGATTGCGGGGTAACCAAACTAATTAGCTTAAAATCTAACAAAAATTGTGGCGCATTCTTCCCCTTCTTCGTTGGCATTTTATCATATTTATGTATTTCAACCAAACCTTATCTAGGCGAAGCAAATCTTGACCGGTCCCAGCGGCAATTGCTTCATATAGTTCCAGGCATCCACGCGCGTCATTCGCGCTGTTGAGGCACCGTTGATGCTCAGGATTTCATCGCCATTACGCACCTGGTTGGTCTTCTGGGCGGCTCCACCTGGTTACAGATAGAATAGGAGCATTAATTAATTTCTGGCGGGAATGGAATGACAAATGACTCGCTTACCCATGAACACCTTTTTGACAATGAGGGGACGATTTCCCAAGGGCGAATCAAAGCCACCCTCAATGGAGAAGCCCAGACCACAGCTGTCCTTGACAATCTCCACACAACGTGCTCCACCACCATTGGCCGCCGCATCTTCTGCTGAATAATTAAAAGGGGATTATTAATATTAGTATTCTTTAGGTAAATAAGAGTACATAAAATATACTTAAAATATAAATTAATGAATTTAAAATGAGATAGACAAACTTAATATCAAAAGAAAGGAAGAGAACCCTTGTAAATTCAAAATGTAATTAATTAATATTTCAAAGAAAATTAATTTTGATTTGGAAGTTTATAAATTGTGATACAAATTGTTATACATTTAATTAAAAAATTTAAATTAAAAGTATTCATAATTATTCCATAAAATTTCGTATCGCAAATTTAAAATTTTGTAGTATACTTTTGTGCGCAATTAAATGAATTTCACAAAAAATAAATACTCTTCCAAGGAACATCTTATTTATTAAAATTAAGGCATATTTCCTTAAATGTAAACTAACCTTGTGCCCGAATCTCCGCCGCAATGGCATTCCGTGCCTCTGCAGCCCGTTCCAACAGTTCACTTGTGCTCAGCTTGGCGGCATCGCCGCGGGACAATTGCCTTCTGGCTCGGATTCCCGCAATGGTGGCCTCCGCATCCTCGTCGTGCAAACTCGCCGGTTGCTGTGGACTCACGGATCCCGTGCTGGGTGTGGTGGCCACTGGCGAACCACCCGCCTCATTGGACACTATATCCAGGTCCAAGTCCAGAGATCGGGAGGCCTTGTGATAGTTCCTCTTGCGCTCATAATCCAGCTCCGTGGGCTTCTCGTTGAGCGAGCTGAGCGAACCGAGGGAGGAGCGCTTCTTGGTGAGAGCCTTCACCACCAGCGATTCGGAACGGGTCACCACCAGCACCACCTCGGGTCGTGGGGTCTAGACAAGGGATACAATTTGTTGGATTAATCATTTAGCTAAGATATATATTTTGTTACAAATATTACCTTTAGCACACTGATGGACTCGCGATGCGTCAATCCTCGCATGCTCATTCCATTGACCGCCAGAATGCGATCTCCCTTCTTGAGACGTCCATCCTTGGCCGCTGGAGTGTTGCTCAGGATCTTGTGGATCTGCAAAAGGAATTACAATTTATATAAATAAAAGTAACTCAAAAAGAAGGGATTCCACAACTCACTGTGATTTCCTTAGCCTCGTAATCGGAACCTCCGGCCAGAGTGATGCCAATGCTACTCTCGGGATTATCCCGCTGCAGGACAATGATGAAGGCCTCGGGTGTCTTAAGCGGGGGATCGGCCTCCTCCACAATCTGCTGGACATCTTGGGCGGTGATCAAACTCTGATTGCTACCCAAAGAGGAGAAGCTACCAAACTCAGTGGCCGTTTCCTGGGTGGTGCTCACATTCTGAGTGGTGGAGCTCACGCCCGAGGAACTGGAGGCCAGGGAGTCCAGCGAGGAGAAGCGCTCATGATGCGGCTTCTGGGCTATCTTATGGATCACTGGCGAGTGGTTTTGGGTCTGTGCCTGAGCCTGGGCAGCGCTCCGCTCGAATTTCTCACGCAACTCCGCGGTGGTCTGCTGCTTCAGAGGTTCCCGCTTCGGCGATGGCAATACCATAGGCTTGACCATTGCCTCCACCTTGACCTTGGACTGCTGCTGGACGGGATCACCCTTGAAGCTGGCCTTGCGCTCCTCATCGATGAACATGGCACTGATCTTGGCCGGCGTATCAGATCGCCGGCTGCTGTCGTCCGTATCCGAGGTCAGCTCCACATAGGCAGCCACATTGATTAGCTTATCGACCACCAGTTGCTGCTTGCCCATCTGGATTTGCTGCTGCTGCAGCTTGTAGCTGGAAATGGGCTTCATCCGGCGATTGGCCAAAGAGCAGGCCTCACCATCGGTGCTGTCATTGTCCTCCTCCTGTCCCCGGCTCTTGGCACTACGGCACTTGGCCGAAGCCAGAATGCTCTTCCGGCTGGAGAGCACCACGGATTCCCCACCATTGCCGCTCACCTGACTTTTGAGCACCCGCCTGGTCAGATCCACGGCGGGGGTACTGCCCAGCGAACTGCAGCTGGCCTGGGAACCAGCCGAGGATCCCGAGGTCAGAGTCGAGGTGTTGGAGCTGGCTATCGAAGTGTTCGTCTCGGAGCTGAGAGTACGAGTCAGAGCGAACTTCTCTGGCGGCGTGGCCACACGTGCTGTGGTGGAGAACACCGAATCCGTGTCACTTTCCTGATCCAGAGGCGGCGGTGGTGGTGGCATCATCATAGTCCTCGGGTGTAGTGGCGTCAGGGAGGTCCTTGGGGGCTTGGCCGGCGGTTGGGAAAGCTGCTGCTCCAGTGGAGGTCTCCTCTGATTGGAGAAGATGCTGCGGTAACTGCTTCCAGACACACTTCCAGCTCCTAGTTGGCTGCTTCTCACATTCGTGGTGCTGCGATGGCTTTCGCCGAGGCCACTATCCGTGCTATCCTCGCCACTGGCCGCCTTCACCTGGCTCTTGATTTCGGGCAAGTCCAGAATGGGTTCTAGGAGCTGTGGTCTCTCGGGTATGACCAGACCCCGTAGCTTTGAGAGACTCCTTCGACGCTGCTCTAGGATATTGGTAATGGCCGCCTTGCGATTGGCCGCCTCACCACCTTCGCCGGAAAAGCTAATCCTGCGCTCCACGCCCGCGGAATAGGATCCTCCATGACTCCGCCTGGGCAGGGAGGCATAACTCTGTGCGGCCGGAGACGAGGCCGTGTTCAGGGAATACATGGAGTCGGCCACATGCAGCTGTGGCAATTGTTTGGCCAATTGATATTGTCGCTGGACATCGTTTAGGTTCTCCACACTCATGGCGCGGGTCTTGAGCGACGGAGCTGCCGGGGATGAGCAACTGTCCAGCAGATTCTCACTGCTGCGGTTCATGGGCTTTCGGGAGAAGGACGAGGACGTTGAGGAGGAGTTGCTTATGGGGGCTGTCATCGGAGCCGGTGGTATGGCATCCAGTTCGCTGTTCGAAGAGAACATGGCAATCTTGTCCCGCACCGATTTCTCCGATTTCTCATCCTTTCGCCAATCACTTGGCTTTCGCGGTGCCCCACCACTCAGGGATCTCTGATAGTCGCGGGTCAGGCTGGGAGCTGGTTCCACATTTATCACCAAATCCTGACGATACACCTTCCGGGGCACTGTGGGCGGTGGCCCCGTCTTGGGCAGTGGCGGTGCCGCTGTACCCTCATCCTTGCCAGTCTGGATCTCATAGCCCAGTTCAGTGGTGGTCCCCTTTAGGGGATGGCTACTGTGCATGATCAGGGGCTCACTGAAGTTGGGCGGAAACTCATGACCGTCGGGCGGCAGGCGGGAATAGGTTGGTGGCGAGGCGTAGCTCAGGTAATCCTGCACCAGCAATTGCTTTGTGGTCGTCGCCTGATGCAGATGATGTGTGGCTGTCGTGGTTGTAGTTCCAGTAACTGTGCTGCTGCTGCTGTTGCTGCTCAGCAGCTCCATTTTGCCGGGATTGAGGGACGCAGCCAGCGGCTTGGTAGGTGGTATCACCAGTTCGGAGGAGCTTGTCTTCCTGCCGCTGTTGCTGGTGGAGATGATGCTGTTACTGTTGCTGGTGGTGCTGCTGCTGCTGGTGTTCAAGGTTACTGCTGGGATGCTGTTGGCACTGATGTTGCCAATGCTGCTGTGGTGGCTACTAAGGGTTCCAAGATCTATAAGGATTGAAGGAGAGACAAGAGAAAGGAGAAAGGTTTGAGTTAGTCAAAAGGAAAACACGAGGATACACAAGGGGAAATATGTATAACAAGGTTTTATAATCGATTCATCAAGTTTAAGGGATTTAGTGATGACCAAACAGGGAACATAAGGTATCATACATATCATATTATCATATTATCATATTATTCCATTAAACACTTGGAAAAAGCACAAGTTAGACACAAGTAAGGAACAGGTAACAATCTACTAAGGACATCTGGTTATATGTAATAGGAATTGTTGTAATAAGCTGTTGTATAATCATAAGAAAAAACCATAAAAAAAAGAAAGAAAAAGAGAGTTAAAAGAGAGTTAAAGCAAGATATTAAAAATCTATATATTCAAAAAGCAATTTCCACTACGAAACTCACTAAAATCATTTAAATAATGGTCAATTAGTTTTAGTTTTTGTTTCTGTTTTTTTGGGGGGAGAGCTCTGTTACAAAACCCTAAAATAATTATCCATCCATCCCAACTTTCGCTCCCAGCAAGCCCCCAAAATAGTTGTCATTATGCGATAACCGGAGACGAGACGAGAAACAAAAGCGAATCTTACGGATGCGATCCCAGCAATTAAAAACCGCAACAATAACAAATAAGAAAAATTCGTTTAACTCTGTTTTGCGGTTGACACAAAAACGTTTCTAAACAAAAACACAAAAAACGAAACGAAACGAAAGAGAAGGTTGGACTTTAGGCACACAAATTATAAACAAAACTAGAAAATGAAAACAAAACAAAGGTTTCCCCTCTAAAAATAAGAAAAGCGAAAGCAGGAGAAAGAATGGTCCGGCTACTCCCTCAAGCGGAGAGTTGACAAAAAAAACCTTTATGCAAAAAATTAAATACATTTTGGGGTCACTTGGGGGAGTTTCGTTTCCTAATTTCTATTTGGTTAATTTATGGTTTTGGTCAAGAGTTTCTAAACTCGATATTAAATTCTTCAGAATAGGAAAGAAATTCTTCTTTGGTCATGTAACGATTTGCATAATTAATTGAAACAAAAAAAAAAAAAACAATAATCTAAAAACAAAACGAGGCTAAATTTCATTAAAATTAAAAACGCTGCGTGGTTTTTTCCCTCTGGCACACGCACGAGATGTTAATGAACTTTTGCAAATGTAAAGTTTGCAAAAATAATAAAGAGAGAGAGAGGAGTAGCGAAAAATATAAAAAAACAAATAATACAGAAGAATTGTTTAATGAAAAGAAAGGCAACAAAAAATCATGTTTGCATGTGCCGAAATTAAAAAATACAACAACGAAAATAAATAAAATGATTATGGTAAAAAAATACAGCTAAGAAGTGCGTGAAAAATTGCAAAATGTAAAGTCAAGGGCCTAAAGAAGAGAACTTTGACCTTGGTAAAGTAAAAAAGAAACTAAGACTGCTCTTTTGAAGGTGAGAAAAATTCGTCATGAATAATATAATATCTTCTTTCTATAACATACCAATATATAATGATCATACTTTTTAGTTGTAATAATTTCCGAGTTCAAGACAGACCCCTTCCTTACTGTTACTCAGTTTTCACACGACTGATTGGCTAAAAGTTAAATATTTACTCATCGAACTGTTTGCTCGATGAGCCATATCGTCGCCAACTTACTGTATATTCCTTATAGACTGAGTCAGTCCCCTAAAAACGACGTCATTCGATGACGGAACTACATCAACGCACCTGTATTATATCACCCAATTACATACATATATATTTCTCATTGAATTCAACTCGAACTAATAGTAATTGTAATTATTTATCGGACAAATCTCTACGAAGAAAATAAAAGAGTTTATTGTTTTGTTCCCGCGATATGTAATTAATCAAATTAGGTAAGATATAAAAATTTTTTTTGGGTCTCTCATTTTTGTAGCGGAGTGTGATGTCAAGCGATTAATCTTCACTCTGGCAAGTGTAACATGAGCGACGGACATGCTGCCTTTTGGACATTTGAATATTCGAATAAAACTTGTTGCTTATCGAGCATTAATCGAATCAAGTTTGTTGGGGTTAAGGTTCGAGATCTTTTGCCATAATTTTGTGTAATTTTTCATTTATCTTTTGTTTTTTCCCTGTTTTTTTTTTTAGCAATTAAATAACACAGTTCTAAATAAGATTTCATAATTTACTGTTATTATGTGTTGCCTCTCTTTCCCAGATCTTTAATTTTATTTCACATTAGCACCCGCTGCGAAGTGATCGTTGGAGTTGTTGAAGTTGTTGGTGTTGTTGGAGTTCTGGCAGTTTGGATTTAATTGTAATTTTCAGGGGGTCTCCAAAAAACACCACAGGCGGTTAGGTGAGAGTCTGTGTGAAAGGTTGTTGATACGGTATTCTTATAATGAGTGTTGCCAATTTTAAATTGAACCAAAAAAAAAAAAACAAAAAATTCAGTAAAGAGATTGTGTGGAAAGGTAATTTCAAGAGGAATTCTTTATGGTGATTTAATTGTAATTTAATTGGGTGACGAAATGTCAAGTGATTATTTAAATAACCAAGTAAGGAAAGGAATAGTATTTAATTCAATTTCCTTCTCATTCACATCAATCACATTTCCCCAGCTGCAGTTCCTGGTACTTGATAATTTGAGTTGTTTTACACACACTTAACTGGTCTTTCATCAAGCATTTCCGTGCCAAACACAAAACATGCCAAAGTGTCGTCTTTAATTACAGGTGAAACCAAAGAAAATGGAAGCAAAAGAGGCTAAAAAATAGGTGGTAAATGCAGAAATGAAAGACAAAAGCTGCCGAAGAACGTCAAGAAGAATCGGTAGAAGATTCTTTAAGCTGCCGTCCAATGTCAAGTTCTTTGGAAAATAACTGCAGTTGGGTTTTCCTGTAATAACTTCCGCTATGCCGCAAATCGCTCTCTCCCAAAGCGCCACCCCTGCAGTTGATAATTATAAATTGCCTTCGGGGAAAATAAAGATTTTTCCCACAGAACCCATGAAAATCCTGTAACAAATTGCTCGCATTTAGCGAACAAAGTGCCGAGGCTTCTCCAGGTTTTTTTTTCTCAGGTTTTCAGTGTGGGAAAAATATAAAGAATTAAATCGGAGCTTGGCGCGTAGCTAAATAATTGAAATTAATATTTTCTGTTGAACTTTTATGCTTTTCAACAACGAATTTCTTTAAAATGAAAACACAGTTTATCGCGCCGCTGCCTTTGTCGGTGTTTCTTTGACGTTCGAATTAGCGGGCCAAGGTGGGGTTAAAAATGCGTAGATTGGTAGCCCGCAGAATTCTTCTCTGATTCTTCACCTTCTTCTCCTTTTTATTTTCTTATTTTTTAGCAATTTTCTGAAGTGCTGAAGAGGAGGAAAAAAATAAGATTGTATTTCCCAACCCGCAAGCCTCGCATATTTTATTTTAATTATTTTATTAAAGTCTCTCCCGGCCATAATGTGCAATTATTTAAAGTGTTTTTCGATGCTGAAATCAACAATGGCTTAAGGTGGTATTATTATTTATTATTATTTAATGTCATTTAATGATTTTTCCACTTATTTCTCACAAATGCAATATGTTTGCATAATTCTTTGAACAGCTGATTGATTTGGTTAGCTCTAATACCTTAATTCTGGCATCTTGTACCATCTTCACCTGTCTTCTTTTCCATCTTGTCACAGCTGTTTCCTTAAATTGGTGTGTCATAGCTATGGCACATATGGCAACAGGGGGTTAAGAGGAATGCAGCAGAGTGGCAACAGCTGCTTCTCAGGTTTTAGCCACTTAGAAGAAGGAGATGAAAACAGCAACAGCAAAAAGAGCGGTTTATTATGCGTAAAAAGGGATAAGGGTTAAAAGAGGACAAAGTATAGTCATAGTAGACTAGGGCATACCCTATTCTATAGGTCTAGAATATATTTTAAGGTCCGGAAGTTGAGGATACATTTTACCATATATAATAATCATATAATAAAGAACTGTAGAGGGAGTTAGGATCATTATCTTTTGAGTTACTTATCTGTATCTTCATTATTTATACCCTATATATACCACATATCTATAACTTCTCTATCGTTTTTCTATATATTTTTAACTTCAATATCAATTTCTTTAAAATTCCCCATGACCCAAAAAATACCCTTTACATACCAGGATCATCTGGTTATGGAGCAACTTAAAAAATGCGCCAGCCATTTCTTTATTAAATAAAGAGCCACAGGAGAGTTACCTCTCCTGGGTAACCCCTTAACCCTCTAAGTACTCCTCCCCTTGCCCTTTTTGCACCTTGCTGCCGTTTTGCATTTAATGTGTCATGCTACGATGCAGTTGCTGCTGCTGCTGCTGTTGCATATGTTGCATTTGCAACTTGCAACTTCTGTCGCCGTTGTCGTTATGTGGCAAGCGCCAAGTGTTGCACACAATGCGAGAGAGTGGGAGAGCGATGGCAACCTGGAAAAACTACTCCTAATGCGGCAAGAGGGAAAATGTGTGTGTGTTGCCAAGAAAAATGTGCGCTTAAATTGCAGCTGAGAAAGGTGAGTAAACGGGGGCAGGGGGAAGGTAGGAGAGGGGGACAGGTGGCTCTGGATAGGGGCATGAAGTGTGTGCCGTTGCATAAATATCGAGCTAAAGTGCCACAGCCAAACAGGGGGGAGGGAAGTTGCAGTCACTGTCTGAGGTCGGATCGCAGCTGCCACACACGATGCCAACGCACAGATACAGTAGAGATGCTCTAAGAAGAATTCTGAAGAGTTCTAAAAGAACTCTGAAGACTTATTTCTATTTTAGGCAAAGTCTAATAATTATTATTTAATAATATAATTAAAAATATATATCAAATCGTAATATTTACATCGCTTTAGGGGTATCTCTAAGAGCAAACACTTGTTTGAGCTTTTTTTGAATCTCCTTAAATATTTCCAAACATTTTCTAGTATCTTTCCCCCCAAAAATATATGTTTTATACATAGTATTATTTGTACTATATCTTATTTATTTTTT